TACTGGAAAATTCAAATCACTCATCAAGTCAAAACTACAGCCATGGCTCAAGACTTACTCAAATATTTATTTAGAAGTGAAAAAAAAAAAAAAAATGAATGCAAAACTTAGTCAGTGGAGTACTTAGACTTGAGGTAGTGGGGTAGGGCGTGACTGCAAAGGGAGAACAATGGAGCTTGAGGAGCCAGGAATGTTGTTTCTTGTTATGTGAGTGGGTACATTAACTTTATGCATATTCACCACACAGCTATTCACATCATTATTTGCACACTTTTCTTTACACGTTATATTCCAATAAAAAATTTACTTGAAAATAATTACAAGAGGAATTTGAAAAACAGGTAACTTAGTCCAAAAGCAATTCTAACAATTATGTTGAAATATATTCTAAACATTACCTTTTAAAAATTATTAGTCTTCAGAAATGAAAGTAAATTAAAATTATTCAAAATTTAGTTACAATGCTCTACTCGAGGAGTACCCAAGATAGAAAGCATATAAAGTGCAGAAAAGCTTCATGAGGCATTAAATTATGGATTCATGAAATACTTTGTTGAAATAGATTTTAATTGCAAATGTTTATTTACACATATTTTTAAAAAGAGCAAGGATATACACCAAAATACAAACAGAGGTTATCTGAGTGATGACATCATAGTGATACAATTTTTTTCCTTTTAACTTACTTGTATTTCCTGCTTTCTCTACTGTAATAAAATGGTCCAATGAAAATAAATACTCTTAACTGTCCCAAGCAGCTGGTTTTAAATAGGTATATGGACATTTCTTAGTGAAAATAATCTTGCATTAATGACAATACTGATATATGTTTTTCTAGTCAAGTGGGGGCATACTGAACTTTTAAAAAGTGTCTGAAAAAAGCCAAACTACATAACCTTTTTAAACCTCAGTTTCCTCACCTGGATATAAAAAACAATTACCAAACTAAATTAGTGCACGGAGGGATGGACACAGGGAAGAGGTAACTATCGGGAGGAAGTGGGAGGGGAGCTGTTGCGTTGTGGTAAATTGTAGTCACTGTCATGAGACTAAGTGTATGTGAACTGCTGTATGGAAAGTGAATTTGCTCTGTAAATTTTCACCCAAATCACAATAGATAAATAAATAAATAAATAAGGGGGGGAAAAAAAAACACTAAATT